CCCATGATAACGAACTTCAGTCTCTCTCTGTCCGGTGGACCCAAATTTGGAGGAATATGAGTTTTTAGACCTCGTAGCCTACTGAGGCGGGATAGTATCAGCCTCGGACTCGTTGCATCAACAAAGGTGACTCGCAGAGACCGGGATTTCCCCTCCTCTCTCTTTCCAAGACGGATGATTTGCTTCACCCGCAACCCCTGTTCATTCACATCAAAAGCCTATCAATTAGGCTCTGCATAAAATCCACGTCGTGTTCATAACGCGCCTGTCGACTCAGGCGCGTGAAATATCATAAGGTTACAAGGTCGCTGATTGCTCGCAGTTGTCTTCCCCTTTTTGCTTCACTGCATTCTCTATTGGCCTTCAACGTCTGCGCTATTGCACACCGGTATGTTAGTGTCCGTAGGACGCAAAACAAGCACGCCAGCTGAGTTTCCAGCAAGGGGTGGACATCGCGCTGGACAGCCTGCAGCCGCTTGCTTGGATGAACCCAAGGAGCTCTTCTCTATGGAAAGTTTTGCGCGTCTTGTAGGCTCGCGCGGCTTCTCGCCTGTTTGTGACTGCACATTGGCTTGGTATTTTTTGCACCATATTCGAACAAAGTCATGCTGAATTTCACGCAGTAGTTCAAAATGATTTAAAAACAAACCAATACACGAAATGTGGATATTCACACCACACATGAAGCAGGTAAGAGCATTAGCTCTATGCCCAACTATTTTGCAACAAGCGCCACAGGAAGTCCGCTTTGTTTTTACTGATAGCTTAGCAGATGTGACGGTACAGGTGATAAAATGAACAATAAGTATAGGATAAAAGTACCAGAGTAAAATATACGGACAAGAAAACAATACACAATATTTGAAAAGCACGGTAAGAAAACGAAAACTTGTAGATGCATGGATTTCGTATTGTCTCCTCAGTACCATTAACAATCACCGGTATGGATGTGACCGAATAAGCATGAGTTACAAAATGAATGACGGAAGTCCCACCCCTATGTCCACGGCAGTCTTAAGTTGACAAATAATTGTTTTTGAACACACAAAACCGGCTTCATCCAGCTTATCGCAACGGCCTCGGAGAAACGGAGGAAGCGGGGATTAGGGTGACGTAACACAAGTGTGAATGTTGATCCAAGCTCTATCCGGTGACGCGTAGTCAGCAGGTGTTTACCTATTGAGGAAGCTGGTGGCTTGCACAAGCATGAAATTTTAGTGGGACAGGGATGCTGGTCATTTTCACGTTGAACCCACCTTGGCACGTGTTCCTTTATTTGGGAAGTCAAAGACCGATTGGTTCTGCCTATGTAATTGTCTCCGCAGTTGCACACCAATTTGTATATGCAGTGTGAGTTGGCCCCGGTCGGTTGAGCTTCCCTCGTGGGAGGCACAGGCAAGTTACGGGTTCCATTGAGGACCAGCTTTCATCTTCTTACCGTGCTTCTCAAATTTCTGAAGGGAACTAACTGTTTTAAATTTCTTGATACACAATAACCAAATTCAGAATCATAAAACTTACGAAGAGAACTCTTTTCGGCAATTCACTTCAGGTAAATACAATTACAAGACAGATAAACGTACAGCCGAGCGAACGCTGGGGATGCGATTGTTTGAACGAAGTCGATCAATAGTCCACATAATACAATCAGACGTCATGAGTCGCGCGACGAGGCGCGGAGACGCACACACGCACAAAGCACAGACGCGTCTACAATGGTCATAACCGTGGGCCGAAAGATGTTCGAGGATCGAGCTGCGGACATTCTTAACCATAAAATGTTGCAAAGAGGCAGGGCAGTGCTCAGCTATTCGCCTAGATAGACGCCTGGTCGTGTGCCCGAGGTATCTTGCACCACAGGTGCAGGTGAATAGATATAGAACAAAAGATTCGGAACGAGTCGGGATTCTATGTTTGAGGCGTTAGGTGACGAGCGGAAAAGTTTCAGCCGGATATGTCTTGTTCACCGCCAGTGATAGTCCCCTATTCAGTAAATCGAAAGGAACTAAGAGGTAAACATCCTTCTTTCTTGCAGTCGGTATCACGTTAAATGGATCAGAAACAGCGAAATGCTTTTTTGATAAACGTCGCGGGATATCCGTTGCTCTGCAGCGTCTTATGAATAAACACCAATTCCGATTCCAGTGTTTCTGAACTGCAAATTCTTGAGGCCCGATAGTGCAGACAACGCACGAGATTGCTCTTGTATTTAATGGGTACAAAACTAAGAAAGTGCGTGTACTGACCAACCCAGGTTGTCTTACGGAAGATTCTTCTCTCGAATGAGCCATCGGTTCGACGTCGTAACAAAACATCCAAAAACGGAAGTTTACCGTCATTCTCCAGCTCGGAGGTGAATTTTACTGTTGGATGTGCGTGGTTAAACTGGTCCAGTAACTGAGCGGGATCGACGTGGGAATCACACATGATGAGTGTCATCCATATACCGCCGATAGAAATGAAGGGAATTGATATGGTGCCGGATAGGGCCACAAAAGAAATTGAATTTGATAAAAATAAATACTAAAAGTCTGTTCTGCACAAAATAATGAACGATGCAAACTGGCCTGTCAAATAGAGCCGTCCGGTGAGCGCTATTTGCAGTGGCCGTAGCTCATCGTCTCAGTGATCACGCAGCGACGAGGACTAAAAGACTGGTCGCCTCGAGCAGTCAATCAACTGGTGATACACCGAAATTCGTTGAACTGAAGCTACTAACACCGGCGAGGTAACGCCCGTTTCATACACACTACTAAGCTGTAAAAATGGCTATTGATTACCGATAACGGCATCTAGCGAAATGGGGCCCCGAAATGCCAGGCCAATGGCGAGGTGAAGTATAAAGGTGTTAGCAGCAAAAGGTTACAGTGTACGCACGGTTAAAATGCATGCGTGGGATACTGCAGATTTATAGGCCCGATTATGAGCCAAAGATCTCAATCATGTTGCCACGGATCGGCTTAAGTACAAGCAAGTGAAAGTGATTAAGGTTCACACGTACTTTCATAAACTAGAACATCAAGAAAGATTGTACAAATGGTTAGAAAGATTACCATACACTGAAGCAACAAAGCAAGTGGCATTCGTTTAGCCAGTTTCTCGCTCTTGATGTTAAAACCGTTATTCATATGTCCAATGCTCTCGCCCACTTTGTTTGCTTTTCTCATGTTTATCTTTTTATGTAGCAACAGGAAACAGCAACTAGATCCAATGCTCCTTGGAGCAAGGACTATAACTGCTAGACTGACCAAAACGCGACTATAGAAAGTGTGGCCTTAGCGGACATTTTTTGCGTTCTGTGATGGTAATAGGGACTATAACCGCGCACAAGGTGAAGGACATTAGACTGTGCAAAGATGTGACTACTGACCAGGAGATTGATGAGCAACAACTATGGGGCTTAAAACAGCTGGAATACCGGGCTATCTCATTCAACCTTACATGTGTACTGAGAATGGGCTCGTTCAGCAGCCCACAATTGACGAGTCTATCACGACTGATATCGAAGACATAAAACAAGTGTAACCAGGCGTACCGCAGAGCACGCGACGAACAAGTTCGTTTCAGTTAATGCTATCAATTGTAAACTGAAAACCGAAGTGCAGTAGATCCAGTTACCACGAGTCGCGCGCAAGGATAGCGAAAATTAATGATTTTCGGTTGAAGAATGCAAGGACACTGTTATGGAGAGAGCTTACAGCTAGCAATCAAGCCGAGAGCAGTGCCGTAAAAGTGCATCGATCTGCAATTAGAGATCGAACTCGACTATAGATCAAAATGCGAATTGATGCGGAATCAGAGTCAAGTTGGATCACGAACTTGAACCATTTGAGTTGTGTTAATTAACGCCAATTAGCATCTCCAATATTGTTGTTTAAGTAGTTGCTCACAACCTATTTATTGTGCCGCGCTCTCATACAATAAGCCTCTCTGTCTACCGAACCTTGGTCTTCTGCATTCCGTTGGTGGGCTGGGCGCGTGACTGAGCAGTCAGGCAGTCGCAGTCTCAAGGGGCAGCTAGCAACAGTAGCACAGTCGTCAGTGGCATAGAGTAGAGGTAAAGAAAGAAGCGTTACAACAGACACAAAGAGGGTTTATTGAGTTGGAATATTAACAGATGGATGTAAAAAAAAACAAATGAAGTAGCACCAGAGACACCACGAGTGTCTTGCAAGAGAAAGCTTATAACCTTTGATGCTGGCAATTCGGAGCCTAATTGACTATGTGGGTAAACATCACTTACCATGTTCCGGGGAGACTATTTAATAACACTCCATACGTGATAGGCGCATTTAAATGGCCTGTTACTCTGGGCTTGGGAGTCCCACAAGTATCCAAACGCAAGAAAATTGCTTACGCTTACAAAGAAACGAAGCATTGATACGAAGAACTGGTGTACTGCCAACAACTTTTATTGCAACAAATGTTGCTGATCTAGACATTAAGCATCAAATGAGTGGTATGCGTCACTGCTCACTACCAGTTAGGATCTAGGTATAAGACACATCTGCGTCCATAAAATTCAGAGTACCAGGAACGTCCACAGTGGGATAGATGTCAAAGATCAGACTATGGCTGTGTTGCTGCAGACCAACTGTTAAATTTGCTCGCCTCGAGAAAACAGTAAGAATTGGGCAAAACTAAAGTGACGTAGGTGTCACTTGCGTTCGGTTTGCCAGGAGTTTGCTTCATCTGAGATTTTTATCGCTCTCAAGATAACTGAGAACTACGAATGCAAGCGATATCACCTTCATATTGGGTACTGATCAGTAGACAAAATCCCACAGCTCTTTGAAAGGGCACTAACACTACACCGTAAGGCGTAACGGCGCTTGGCTACCACGCGATCACTACAAGTCGCGCGCGGCCTCGAAATCGTGCGAGGTCGCCCGTATAGGTGACCTATGGATAATGAGACAAATGGTTCACACCAAGCTTCCGCCATCCGACCAGCTGTTTAACAGAAAGAAGTAAATACATAATCAAGGTCGTAAACTCACTTCTTGGTCATCATCCGGCGCTGGAATGTCATTCCACGAGGAGGCGTCACCTTGGTTTAAATTGCGGATCCAAGCCCGTGCCATTGGGTATAGAGGTGCATTTTCACCGAATTGCCCGAAATCAACGCTTCTCTCGAAAACTTTAATAACAAATGACTCTGAGGCCGTGCTGGTTAAAAAATTGGACCCTTACCTCTGAAGTTGTCGTCTTCGTCTAACGGTAACCGCCTCTTCTTTCGTTTGAGATCCGGTGCACCTTTAAATGTAAAGTATGAAGGACGACTTTGTCTATCGCACCGCAATCCTTTCTTCCTAGCGCTTCATCTTTAAATTTTGAGCTTTGTTTTCTGAGTGTGAACGGCATCAAAATGAACAAACAAGTACGTACATCTTTTCCGGATTTTCCTTCAGTAATTGGAGAAGAGAATCCAACCTATCTCTAGCGTAGCTCAAATCAGAGTCTTTGAACAGAGATCAAAGGTAAACAAGTTACGGACCATCGTTCTCGCCCCAAGGGCTATCAGTCCAAACGCTCATTTTTGGTGAATGCGTAGAGTACAACGGTCCAGGGACGAGAAAACTCGTCGAAAGGCTGCAAAACGAGATACCTGGTCCTGAGGAGGCAGCAAAGCAAGATGTGGTCACAGCAAGCCAATAAGAAGTAATGGAGAATACAGCCGGCGATTACAAACGCGTATTCAGCGAACATACAGCAATATTACAGGTGTACGTTGTAGATATAACAATGAGAAACAGGAGGAACGTACAGATAAGAGCTATTTTAAGTGAGATCAGTACATACATAGGAAAGATGGAGAAACATGAGCAAGATTAGTGGATGTTGCTCCACCTAATGGCCGTCGCAGACGAGTCAACAGATGACCCAGGACCGTGATGGCAGAGTAAGTGAGCCTTAATATTGGTCTGGCTCCATGACGAGACAGCTGGAAAAGAAAGTTACGAACATACTGTGTCAATGGACGCATATAGTTTAGTTCCATCATTGTGCTATTGTAAAATCGATTAGCCTAGTTCCAAGTTATGAAAGTGCGCTGAGGAGGAAACAGTTAGCATGGCTCCAGAAGCGAAGTGGTAGAGGAAGCCAACACCTACACATGGTGGGAATTAATTAGCCATGTTGTCAAATAAAAGACCCAATTTAGGCTACACACTCGAAATATATATATATATATATATATATATATATATATATATATATATGTGTGTGTGTGTGTGTATGTGTGTGTGTTGGCGGCATTCGGGTCCGGACTTGCCTGTCACTGCGACTTTTTCATATGATAGCCACAGGAGGCCTGCGCCTACAAAGACACTGGATGGCTCTATTCAGATACCATGTCCAGTGAAACCCGAAAGGAATAAGACCGAGAGGTATGCAGAGGGGAGCTAGGTTTCATCAACGGAGCCGAACCACATTCCTTCAATATGTACGGCAGCAGCACTCCTGTCTATATAATTTGAAAATCATGCATACCAGACATACACAGGGCGGTTGCAGGGTTATAGCCCATTAAACACTGGGTGGAACCACTGTTTGAGTCTAACACAGTCGCCAGGACCGTGAATCTCATCCCCCCAAAAAAGGTTAACAGTCTGCTGGAGCCAGTAATCAAAGTGGAGGTTGTTTGACAGTTAGACACATTGTCAAAATTTACATCAAGCGAAGCCACACCGGGGATATCAAACAACCAACACAGAGTTTGAAGAGAAATAGACACGCAAAATCGACACGGAATATGTGGTACAATAGCAGAAATGAGCAAATCTAAGAAAGTGGAATACCTTTTATCCAGGTTAAGATCGAAATTTAAGTGCAAGTCAGTGTAGCTCAACTGAGGCGAAGAAGCATGAGGTATGCAACCTCAGAATGAAAAGCCATGTGAATGCGAGAGAATACGAAAGAAAAGTAACAGACAAACCAGAAGGTAAATGTGTGGTAGAATGACAGAAATGACTAAATCAAAAAGTGTATAAGTTCTGAGCTATTGTTAGGGCGATCTTGGGCAGGTGTAGATCTGGGGATATCAACCGACTAGCATCGAAACTCAAAGAGAAAAATCGCGCAATATAGACAGAGAATATAAGAGGGGTAAAAAGATCGGAGGAAATAAAATAAAATGGATTATATATATATATATATATATATATATATATATATATATATATATATATATATATATATATATATATATATATATAACCACAACCTGTGGTGCAGATATTGTGCTATCGGAATAGGAAAACAGAATGAAAATAAGAGAAAAAAAGGAGTAACCTTTTTGTCCAGTTTTACACACACCGTTTTTGATATTTTTGACAGTTCTATTAGGAGATGGAAAGGGAATCACCGCAACACGTAGTGATGCACGTCAGCCACTGATGTCCGTCTTGAGCCATGACTTCCAGGGCCTCCAACCAGCGTAACTCCGTAACTGGGAGACCCCAACCAGGGAGCCGAGAGCAACCGACCGAGGCCAACTGTTTTGTCAGTTTTTTTCATGCCGCTTCTCCAAGTAATAGGCTGTCCACTGCGCCGTTTCCTCCAGCCCTGCCCAGCAACTGCGAACGATAAACGACACCGAAGACGCTGAGTGGACATGCGCAATACATGTCAAAGCCACCACAACTGACGAAGCGAGACGAGCTCGCCGAACGAGTAGGTACCTCCATCCAAGACACTGGTTAACTTCCACACTGGTCATGTGGTGCATCCACCGCACACGAGCAATGGACCGCAACCAACGGTGCTTGAAGGCAGACAGGCGGCGCAGGTTAACGGTACGAACAGACCAAGTCTCGCAACCGTACAACAGCGCGGACAGTCGCACAATAAACCAGCCATTTCATGGAGAGACGGACGTCATGGTGGCGTTACATCATCATCATCACCATTATACACGTTAGATAGAGGTGGGAAACACCTCAGCTACTGTGCCGCAAAAATAGAAGAAAAAAGGAGAAAAATGCAACTAGTGCAAGCGGGTTGAGCTACCGGCAACGGATGGGCATCGTTCCGATAAGCTACCAGCCGGCTGTGCATCAAAAAATACTATATAAAAGTATCTAAGGCTAAATAGTGAGATCGTGATTGGAGAGGCAGGCTAAGAGGGACGGGGTGGGACAAAGAAACTCACAGCACGAACGCCACTGAGGTCGGCTCCTAGCCATAGCAGCAAGTGCATCCAGCCAAACGTGTTCATCGACTTTCGGACCCCCACCAGGGAGCCGAGGCCAGCTCCGAAGTGAGGGCCTTCATTCATCTGGACCAAGTCATCGCTTGGCCACTCGTCCTCTTCTTCCATCCACATCCTCGGTGAGCAAACAACGCACGTCGTGGAAGTCGGTGGGATGGCATGCGCAACACGTAGCCGAGCCATCGGAGCCTCGCGCGTGAAACAACGGCGCTGAGCGGTTCATTTCCTCTTCCTGTATCGTAAACAAGGCGCCGAACACGCTCGTTGCTAAGTCGGCGTTCCCACCAGATGTGAGTTAAATGGCAAAGGCACCAGTGGTTGAACGTAACTAGCATCTTTATATCCGTTGATCTAAGGGTCCAGGTTTCACAATCGTACAGTAGGGTCTAACGTACCGCTACACTGTACACTCTACCCTTCAGGTCGAGTGATGTCGCGCCGGCGCCATAAGTGGCGAAGGTTAGCAAAAGCACTTCGAGCTTTTGCTATACGGTTCGTGATCTCATCTTCAACCCCAAGGTCGCTAATACAACTTCCCAGGTAGTTGAATTTCCAAACAACTTCTAGCTGATCCCCACCAAGGGTCAGAGAAGGAGGCGGGCCAGGCCAATCTTGGAGAAACGCTTTGCACTTCGATGGTGCAAAGCAAAGCCCGAAGCGGTTGACAGATAGTGCTAATCTATCCATTACCGTTTGGCACGTTTGTGAGTTGTCACAGATTAGGGCAATACCATCAGCATACTCCAAGTCAAGAAGTCGTTCTCCTGAGGGCAAATCCATATCTTCTAAGTCGTGTCCTGTAGACGCGATTTCCATTACTCCATCAATAGCGAAGTTCAAGAGGAAAGGTGACAGCGGGCATCCTTGTCTCACACCGCTGGAGATATTAAAGGGCGACGACAGCTTGCCGTATGCCCTCACTCTGCCCGAGCTACGCGCATATAATGCACTGCTAATATTTACATATTTCACAGGTACAGCTTTCCTGAGTAGACAGTCCCAAAGTGCACGTCTGTCCACATAATCAAAAGCACCTTTGATATCGAGGAACACAACAACGGTGGGCCGCCAATATATGTGACGGTGCTCCAACAACTGACGCAAGGTGAAGATGTGGTCAATGCAGCCACGACTCCGACGAAATCCGGCCTGCTCCTCACGAATCTGGCTTTCACGAATGCCAGTCAGTCTGTGAAGGATGACAGAGGCAAGCAATTTGGAGGCGATGGAGATCAGACTGATTCCTCTATGATTGCCACATTCCGATCGTGAGCCTCCCTTGAAGATTGGGACTATGACGGAGTGGCTCCAGTCGGTTGGAACAGTTTCCTGCTCCCACAGTTTCAATAATAACTGGTGTAAATCATCCACAAGAGCAGAGCCTCCGAATTTGAAGAGGGCTGGAGGAAGATAATCTGATCCCGCAGCTTTATCTAGCTTCAACAGTTCGATCTCACGTTTGACTTCTGAGCGAGAGGATGAATCCAAAGGGACAGTCCACGGAGCATGGCGATCACTGGCCGGCGAGAAATTTAACAACTCCGGCCGATTAAATTGCCTTTCAAAGTGCTCAGCCCAACGTTCCAAGCGTTTTGACAAGTTGTGGATAGGCTGTCCACTCTTGTCACGTATAGTTTCACTAACACCAGGTCTCCTGCTTCCAGATTCCCGTATCAGACGGAATAACTTACGATGGTTGCCAAGGGCAGCGGCCACTTCCATCTCTGATGCACGGTGAGACCACCGAGATTCGCGGTCTCTCTTCAGGCTAGCACGGAGTCTTGCCCGGAGCTCTTTGCGAGTTTCATTGTGTTCGCTTCCAGCCGGGATATACCGGCAAGTGTCGATAAGCTCCAGAGGTTGCGAAGAGACCCAATGTCCATATTGACGATTAGACATATCACATGAGGATTTTCCTGCTGCTAGTAAGGTCTGGTGAATATGAGATCAGTGAGCTTTAATTGCACCCAGTGAGCGTTTATCCAACTGGCATGACAGCGTACTTTGATAGGCACTCGGAACAGCTGGTTTCGCCAGTTGGCTTGTGTCAATGCGGTCACAACGTTGTCGTGGGCGTCCGCCAAAGCGCATCCGCAGATCAACACATACAAGTGCATGGTCGGCGTCACAAGTGCCTCAGCTAAGAAAAAGTGAAATGAGCTCTTGAGATACGCACCGAAATCCCATCTACAACAGCCTCACCAGCAGTGATGCAACTTCCCAGGTAAACAAAACTATCCAAAACTTCCAGCGTCTCACCACCAAAAGTGAGAGCAGGCACAAGCATCTGCCAGTCTTGGAAAAGCGCTTTGCAGTTGCATGGGGAAAAGTGCATGCCATACTTTAGTGCTTCAATCACCAAGCGGTTAAGCGGTGAACCGTCACACAGCAAGACAATATCAACGCCACTAGTTAACAAGTCTGCTAAAGCATTTTGAGGGCATCCTCAATGGCAAAACTGAAGAGGAATGGGGAGATAGAGAATCCTTATCGAACCCCACTGTTGATAACAAAGGAATGCGAAAGCTTGTCATAAGACCTAATTCTACCCGAGATCAGATTGTACATATCACGCAAAACGGAAATGTACTTCCTGGGGGCGCTATTCCTCAATAGACAGTGACACAATGCAGTTATGTTCACAGATTCGTTCGCGACCCATCACAATCGTGTTCCTCGACATCAAAGGTGCCTTAGATTCAGTGGATAGGTATGCTCTTTGAGACTATCTAC